CGTTGAGTGCCCGGCTGTCCGCGTTGCCCGAAGCGTCGAATCACAGTCGCTTCACGTTGCGTGAAGCGTCAAGTCGAGTCGCAGTCGCGTGACTGGCATCGCTTCTCCGCTTCGCATGCTTCCGCTGAGCCACTGCTTCGCCTCGCGTGCTATTGCTGCTTTGCCTAGCGTTGCTGCTTTGCCTTTGCTGCCGCTCGCAAGCTATCGTCGTCGGGTTCGTCGGGAGTAGCAACCGGAAGTGGAAGTAGCCCAACAACCTGCGTGTTTGAGATTAATTTCAAAAATCCGAGTCGGGTCGGGTCAACCTAGCAACCCGCTGAAAAAACTGACATATTTGTAAAAAGGGGTCGGGTTTGGATTGACCCGTTTAGAGCCGGGTCAACTCGAGTTCGACCCGAACCCGACCCGCCGACCCGAATTGACACCCCTAGTTCTGTTCCTTTGTATTGTAGAAGCGTATATCTTTGTTAGTTCTGAGTGAGAACGAAACAAAGAAGCGAAGTGAGATAAGTATAGTGAAAAAGAAAGAGATTTGTACGCTTTCTCTGAATTTTCACATTGAATTTCTTGGTGAGGTCGGCTCTATGATTTTTTTCCAATTTTGAATTTTTCCGCTTTAGATTCTAGTGTTCATTTTTTTTTTCTTTTTCTTGTTTCCTTGCATAATTGTGCTCCCAACAAAGAAAGATCGATTTTATTCTTTTTATGTCTTTATTATCCTTTTATAAACAAATATTATTTTATTTTCATGATTAAGATAAAATTCAGCTTTTCTTTTAAATAACGCTTCATTTTAGACGGCTTTTTTATTGTTTTCTAAATCAGCTTTTTAGCATAAAGATTTTAAATTCAAGAGAATTTTATACTAAAAATTTGTTTTAGAAAATAATAAAAAAATTGTCCCAAAAATTTGAAGGAGAAGGTGAATACCCTATAAAGTATAAAGAGCTATTGATGAGTTTAGACGTAAACATGGAGAGAGTAAGAAAGAACAAGGAAGATCTAAAAATCACATTGCATGTTATTATAAGAAAACCTTTAAAAAGAATATGTGATGAGAAAGATAATTAAACCCTGAAGCAACTTTAATTGCAGAGAACTAAAATGATCCAGTTTTGTTAATTTTGAATTGCTATGCTCTTACTATTGAAGATTAGATTTTGATTAGATTTTGTGGATGCTTGTATCACATGATTCTACCTATATAAAGATCAGTTTTCTTCCCATGTATGATTCTCCCAGTAGTGAAGATATATATATATATATATATATTCTGACACTAGTCGAGAGAGTTTAGCAACTCCTGCAACTAATTTAAATTATGCTCTCACAGTAACTCGAGGCACACCTCATGGACGAGCCTCTTATTATCGTGGTCGTCAATCTTTAGGATGTGGTGCAGGTCGTTCTATCTCCAGTCGTTTGGGTTCTGTTCGTGGTGGTCGAAGAACCCGTCCGCTCATTGAGTGCCAGATCTGTGGGAAATTTGGGCATTCAAAATATAATTAATTTTAATATTCTATAAGATATAATTTAAATAAAATATATTAGCTTTTCAAATAGATCTTGTTGTGTGGGCTGATGGTTTGGTGCTTGACTTATAAGTGAGGAACTTTTATTTGGTCCGGTGACCGGACGTAGAGCTACGTTCGGCGAGCGCTGAGAACGCGCCACGTAGCAGGCACAAAACTGCTGACCTGACCCGGCGAATAGTGGGTATGTCGCACGTGCTTTTTTTAAATCCATGACAACCCGGTATTGCTAGGTATTGCTAGGTATTTGTCGATTTTGCTAGGCAATAACGAGAAATATCATTATTTGAAGACAAATACCGAGCAATATATACCAAGCAATACCGAGTTTTTCTAGAAAACTCGGTATTACTCGGTATTACTCTTCACAGAGCGGTATTTATCGTTATTGCCAAGCAATACCTAGCAATACCGAGCAATACCGAACAAATATCGAGTAATACCTAGCAATATGCGAACATAGCATTCCCGGGTTCCGTTCCGGGTCAAGTCGTCGGGCCGCACAGTAAAGAGTAAGAGCACGTGGCGTGATCTCAGTGGTGACCGCACGTAGAACTACGTCCGGTCACCGGACCTAATAATTGTTCTATAATTGAGGGGGTGTGGGTTGGAGGCGGGCTGGCCTGGCCTCACGTGAGGGTGGACTGGACCCGCTCGAGGAAAAAAAATGAGTATTTTTTTTTTTTGCAATAGTTTCAGTCGGCGGAAAAATTTCCTACAGATTATTTTACGTTGGTAACAAATTTTCGACGCGTGTTTTACAGATAGAAAATTCCGCTTGAAATCTATCAGAAATATTAATTTCCGATGGATTTGGGTCATTTTCCAGTGGAAATGGCTGTCCAAAAATGACGTTTTTCCCATGTTGAAGGCTTCATTTGTGATATTTTTCTTATTTTTTTCCACAATATCTTATTAGCACAATTTTTTTTTAAGTAAAAAGAATCAGTGTTCAATAACTATACCAAAATAATCCTAAATTTGATAAAGATTATTTGGATAATTAAGTTGAGATACATAACTAGATAATAAACTCATAAAATTTTCGATGATTTATCTTAATAGCATGACTTACAGTTCATGAAAGCAATACATCTTAACCATGAATTGTAAAGGTTTTTGGCATATTGATAAAGTCAACATGTAAGGTTATTAGGACAAATAAACTAAGACATGATAAAGTTTTAAAATTTTAGGAGATATATGATAGGAGGAAGTTCGAAGAACAATCTTATCTCTTTGACTTTGACCTCAGTCGAAAATAAAATTATTGCAATCATCGGATGGAGATCAATCAAGATGCGTCACGTCATCAATTTATTGTATACTATTACTGTGTAGCAATGTGTATCACATAACGTTGCAAATCTTAATTAGCATCCGGATGGTCCTGTGACCGCACGTAATAATTTCTCCAGTCCAAGGCGATTGAGGGCATAGACTCTCAAGGCATGACCGATAGAGTTTTGAAATTTATTAAATAGAAGAGTTTTCGCTCATAAAAATCAATTAAAAATATTGAGGATGGCATATTTATAAATAATTAGGGAGGTTATCTAATCATTTTGAGTGATCTTATAATTATTATTTTCACTCATTGAGAAGTTGATTTTAATTATTGATATATTCTCAAAAAATTATCTTGATCAAGCACGAATCTCGAGGCAAAATCGAACCAGAAACTTCAAAAATTAAAATCAAGAGCATTTGAACTCCGATTTCAGCGAGCTTATATTCAAACTGAGCGTCTCGGAAATACGAACCCAAAGACACCAAATTCGACCCAATCCAAGCCAAAATGGGTCCTAATCAAGGACCCTAAGCGCTATTGGAAGGTTCAAACCGCAATTTGAGTTACCAAACGGTCTCCGATTTTAACTAACTTATACTCAAATCCAGCAGCTCGACGAGACAAATCCAACGAGCCCAAGATCGCAGAATTCCGACATCACTAAGGTCTCCAAATGTCCAACGAATGGTGCACGATCGAAGGGTTCGATATCGGCCGTCCATTCAAACCACTCCTTATTCGCCCCTGATCTCACACCTATTTACAAGCCATGCCACTCCAGAAAAACTATAAATAGAGCCCTCATTGTTCACAAAGGAGACTCAAGTGAAGAGAGAGAAGAAGAAGAGAAGAAGAGGAGTAAGGGGAAAAGGAGAATCCTCTCCTCCTCGACCACCGCCGGAGCTCTTCCCTCCGCCTGAATACGCCGGAACTCTGCCAGATTTTCGGGAAATGACGGGATTCTGCATAACATTGTAAACTTGCTTGGAGAAACGAATTGTAATCTGATTGCCCCGACTTGTGGGACGAATCAGCCATTTGTAATTTGCAAAACACTAGTGAAATTTTTCAACTGGACGAGGCCCCGTTGTTTTTTTCCCTTTTTTGGGTTTTCCACGTAAAAATTTTGGTGTTCATATTCTCTTTTCTGTTTGTGCGCTGAATACTCATACAACGCTTGGACGCAAATTTACAAACTCTACCGCCGCGTATATTCTAGCACGCAACAATTATAACTATATGGAATTTGGAGGAGATTTGAGCACTCAAATAGCCCTCAAATGACCTCTATAAATTTTAAATTATATTTCTTAGTACTTAATTTAGATCAATTTAGATTTTTTCCTTGGGTGTTATCTCTATTAACCAACTATTTTTTATTATAAATTTAATTAAAAAATTTAGATTTTTTAATAATTAATCATTTAATTTTCTATTTTAAATATTCATATACTTTAAGTTTGAAAATCAGCATCAAAATTCAAGCTTTCTTTAAAATAAAAAAAATGAACAAAAACACAATACAAAATATTTTTATTTAAAGAAAAATAATTATTTAACTTTTATTATAGAATACAAATAAGCATCTTATAATTACTATATGAATATCTATATTAATTTTGATCTTATTAATATTTATGTCGTCATGCTACTCTGAAAAAAAAAATCAAAATTATAAGATAAAAAATCAAATTAGAAATAAATATTTATTAAATAATTATTTGTGCTGGAATATAATGTTTAAATTTACTTTTTTTAATGTAAAATTTATTTCATGACTCTCTTTTTTTTTATTACTATATTGATTATTTATTATTAGATTTTTTTAAAAGAAGAAGCATGATGTTAATTTAAATTAAGAGGAGTAAAATATTAAAAAAAAAAAAAACAAACTAGTCAAATTATTTGGGGCATTCTAAACATTCAGAACTAGTCAAATTATTTGATGCATTCACCCCAATTAGTCAAATTAAAGTATGAAATTACTGTACCAATTCACCGAATAATTTGGAGCATTCAATGCAATACCAAACAAAATGATGAAATACGACAAATTATTTGACTTATTCTATTTAACTAATTTGATTATTTTTAAATTTATAATATTCAAGGCCACTATTTATTTTGGCCAGCTTCATAATCGAAATAATTAATACTGATAATTTAACAAATTAACAATTACGTTAATGAACCCACCGTCTCATTTAACTATAATAGTCTCCCCTACCAAACTTCATTACTCCTCTCAGTCCAGAGGCAGAGCAAAATAGTGGCAAATGGCCAAACGAAAAGAAATACAGCCGGCCGACGTTCTCCTCGGCAAATACGAAATCCGCCGCCTCCTTGGTCGCGGCACCTTCGCCAAAGTCTACGAAGCCCGATCCCTCGCCGACAACTCCACCGTCGCCATCAAAATCCTCAATAAACCAGACCTCATCTCCAACAACATAGCCACCCGCATCCTCGACGAAGTCTCCGCCATGCGCCGCCTCAACGACCACCCCAACATCGTCAAACTCCACGAAGTCCTCGCCACCCGCTCCAAGATCTACCTCGTCATGGAGTACGCCAGCGGCGGCGAGCTCCTCTCATATCTTGCCAGGCGCGGCCGCCTCCCTGAGCCCACCGCCGCCCGTTACTTCCATCAAATCCTCTCCGCCCTCCGCTTCTGCCACGCCCACGGCGTCGTCCACCGCGACGTCAAGCCCCAAAATCTTCTTCTTGATTGCAACGGTAACATTAAAATTTCCGACTTTGGGCTTTCTGCGCTGCCAGAGCACCGCCGCGAAGACGGGTTGCTGGTTACGGCTTGTGGTACACCCGCTTATGCTGCGCCCGAGATTACTCGGCGGAGACCCTACGATGGAGCCCGTGCCGACGCGTGGTCCTGCGGCGTCATCCTCTACGTTCTCCTCGCTGGATATTTGCCCTTTGATGACTCTAATTTGACTGAGATGTATCGCAGGATACACCGACGAGATTACAGGTTCCCTTCCTGGTTCTCCCCTGCTGCAAAACGAATAATTTCTCGTTTGCTCGATCCTAATCCGGAGACTCGAATCACCATTGATGCTGTAACCGAGCTTTCATGGTTCCGAAGGGCTAATAGTCTTGGGGATAGCCTCATCCACTTCAGTGACGTGCTTCAGCCGGAGGCTGTGATGCCGATGCCAGCTCCCCGTGCGTTCAACGCGTTCGACATAATTTCCCAGTCAGCGGGGCTGGATTTATCACGGTTATTTGATGAGGAGGGGAAGGGTAGGAGAGAAAGGGAAAGGAGATTTACATCGACGGCGACACCTGAGGCGGTGGTGGGGAGGATAGAGGAAGTTGGAAGGAAGCTTGGATTTGTGTTTGAGAGGAGGAAGGAGGGGGGAGGGACGAAAGGAGGGGGGCGGTGGGGGGCGGTGATGACGGTGGAGGTCGGGGTGGTGGCTCCGGCGATGCTGCTTGTGATGATGAAGGTGGAGGGTGGGAGCTGGAAGGAAGAGGGGAAGAGAGTCGGAGGTGTTTGCTGGGAGGAGTTGAAGACTGAGCTGGGTGACCTCGTCTATGCTTGGCACTAGACAAGTTTGAATTGGCTGAGCTTGGTGAGTTTGATCTGTGTATTACTGTAGCAGTAGTTAATTTGTGTTTTGGGCTTCTTGTAAACTATTGTGGGAATGAGACTGAGTCTCTGTTTAGGACAGCTTTTCAACTGGTTCATGAAGCAATTTTTTAGTACAAAAATTAAAATCTTTGTACTAAAAAGTTGATTTAAGAAGCAGGAAAATAATCGTCCCAAATGAAAACTAATACTCACCACTTACAGCTGATGGAATTTGTGAAGGAAAAAAAATTAGGTGAGGATCTCAATCTCATCATATTTTGATCATGATAAATTGTAAAAATTTTTTATTTGTTTTAAGATTAGTACAGTAATAATTTATTAATTACTTGTATATTGCACTCATTTTAAAATAAATTTAAAGATTTTAAAATGTATCATGATCAAATTTTAGTCAGGCATACTGACCAATTTTTCTCATTTTTGTGCATAGAAAGTAGGGTGGGGATTTCTTTGTTGATTTGTTGTTAGTAAGGAGATTGGGAAGGAAGTTTCCATGTAACAGATCTCTTTTTGCTCATTGTTTTTTCCTATTTTCTTGATGCTTCTATGTCTGTATCTATATGTACGCATTGGTAGCTTGGTGGGGTTTTAGGAACACGACTTGACTGAGAGAATTGAAGGGGGATTTGATTTCTTGTCAAAGCCCTACATGGGTCATGGTTGGGATTAGGGGTGTCAATTCGGGTCAACGGGTCGGATTCAGGTTGAATCTGACTTGACCCGGCCATAAACGGATTGATCCTAAATCGACCCGACTTTGCAAATGGGTTAGATTTGTCAACCCTGACCCGACCCATGAGGGTTACTGGGTTGACACGACCCGACCCGACCCGACCCACGAATCTGGAGCCAAACGAATCGGAGGACCTAAGGTTGCGCGCCTGCGCCTGTGAAGCGGAAGCGCGGGTCCGCAGGTTCGAGGCTGCAGAGTGCCGGAGGCAAAGCGGAGTGTGGTCCGCCGAGGGTAGAGTAGCGAGAGTGGCAATGCGGCAGCAGGCCAGCGGAAACAAAAGCTCAGCTATGCGGGCGATGAGGGACGCCATCACGCCTGGACCTACGGGCGACAGACTCCACCTGCGGATGCGAGTTACGTGACCTGACGCGGACGTGACTTGACGGGCAACGCAGTTGAGACCTGACACGCGGATAACAAAACGGGTCAATTCGGGTTAACCTGCGGGTTGTCGGGTCAACCTGAACCCGACCTGCTTTTCAAATGGGTCAGAAATTCAAACCCATCGTCCAGAGATGAATCAAAATGCATCACATTATCTAGTATACAATGGTATACAACACCGATAAACAACAAAATGATGACGTGGTGCGTCCTGATTCCCCTCTGGACGCCGTCCCGTGACCGCACGTAATAATTTCTCCTATTTTGGGGACATACATCAACAATTTTTATTTATTTATTTTGACATTCAGGTCAATTAAGTCAAACTCATACACAAATCACATATACAATAGTTAAATCTAAAATCTCTTAGTTGATAATCAAAGCTCCTAATAGCATATCAAAATGAGCGGCTGTCTACATCAACAAATTCAACAATCTCCTATTGAAACAAGGAAATATCTGTTTTGCGGTTGATAATATTCCACACGTTCCATCTCGTTGATGTTCACTAATACTCGTTGTCTCAGCTTATACGGAACTGAAAATCCCTTTCAAACGCTCAATTTGTTGATCATATCGACTATCGCTCCTTCCTTTTTATTTTTTGTGTGGGGGAAAGTGATTGATGCCTTACAATATTTTGAAGAAAGCAATATTGTTATATCTGTTCATATTCTCCGTTATTCTGAACCATATTTATACGAAGTTTTTGAAAAAAAAAAAAATGAAGATATGAAATTAAGAGTCGTGCTTCTATAAGGTGTTGGAGTTTTCAGATTTGTACAGAATAATTTGATATTTTCGTAAGGAAAGATATGCATCACAAGTTTAGATTCATTCAATTTGAATTAGAAGAGTTTCTTTTGCAAACTTGGCACAGTGGCGATGTACAGAGAGAATCTGCTGGATTCTATGAATTGCTGTAGATGAACATGAAGTATAAATGTTTCCTACTAATTTTTTATTTTTTTTATAGAGATGGATTATAATGCTGAGAACATTACAGAAAAGAATGGTATGGAATTCTTATCATGATAAAGATAAAATATTCAGAATTATACAAAAATATTACTCAAAATTAACATAAATTTAAGAAAATTTAAAAAAGAAAACAAATAATGAAGAAATTAAATAATTCAAAAGTTTTATCTTAATATGCAGTGTTGGGAAATAGAACACACAACAAATACAAATAAGAATGAGAAAAATGCAGCATAAAATAAAGAACAACACAAAACTTTACTATGAAAATTTGGAGAATTCGTACCGATCACTTTCTCTCTCACTATGTCCTCGTCTCTATTCACTTTTGCATCATTCTACACTCAGAACTAACAAAGAGACACAATTCCAACATCTCTAAGGGAGACAACCCTTCAAGTTAATATGAAAAATGACAAAGAAGCTCACTCCACTCTCTATCTCTTGCCTAAGTCACAGTGCCCGATGCCAAGGTTTGAAGCTTCGTGACTCTCCGTTCTCTATATCCAAATTAGCAAGAGTATAAAATGTCACAGTACGTGCTCGAGTATACTGTGTTGCAGAGCTCGAGTCTACAGCATCGCAGCGATGCACACTTGTAGAAGAAAAAAAATCGATGCCTACAAAACCCCTAAACCCAAGTCGAGTAAGGCCCCCAGCAGCTCGACCAACAAAACTAAGCTCTATGACGACAATGCAGCTTGATTGATCAATATAGTTAGATTCCACACATTTCTAAACCTAACATTAATTCACGATATAAATTACATCAGAATATTCTAATAAATTTAAAAAATTCAACTTGAACTTGTCATCAATGCTCCTGTCATTCTCTCTGTGCTGGGCCAGGGCTTTTCCCTAGCCGCTCTGCTGAGGGAAGTTCCTTCCCCATTTTCTTTTTCTTTATTATTTTGCCGGAATGGCGATTTTTCGTTCTTCCGATCCTGATTTTCTGGATGGTTCGGGTAGATCCCGCTCATTTTTGGAAGCTTTAGCTGGATCCTCTCATGGTCAATTTCCTGAGCTTATTCGGTCTTCTTTCTGCGGCGTTCCTGCTCTTTTGGTGTCGGAAGAGGAGTTTTTTGCTCTCGTCGAACCATTTAGGATTTCACTTGTTGGCTTCTTCCCTTCGCGGCGGCCTCCGCTCGCGTCGATATGAAATTTTTTTTTTCAATCTTCATTTAAATAGTGCCTTCTCTGTTACTGTGATAGATTCATCTCATGTGCTCATTAAGTTAGATAATGATATTGACTATAGTAGGGTGTTTTGTCATAGGTCCTATCTAGTTTTCAATTGCTTCATGAAGGTTTCTAAATGGTCTCCTTCTGGTGATATTAGGGATGTGTCTCCCATTCTCCCGATCTGGATCCCTTTCCCTAATTTGCGTCCCCATTTTTTCTCTCCTCGTATCCTACATGGATTGGGGCTTCTCATTGGTAACCCGCTGAAGGTGGATAGTGCTATGGCTTTGGGGTCTCGCCCGTCTGTAATAGGTGTACGTTCTGGTAGAAATTGATATCATGAAGAAATATTTGCACAGGATTTGGATCGATCCAGAAAAACTTGGGTATTTCCTATGGAAGACTTCCTCTCTTTTGCCCCAAATGCAAGTGGCTTGGACACTCATTTGGCGAGTGTCGTCTGTCTCTTGATGTTACTTTGCTTGCTGCTCCCTCTTTGCCTAATCCAGATTTGTTGGTTTCTGATGGTATTGCTACTCCTATTGCTGTGGGGGATGTTGGGATTTTTGGGACTCCTGTTGCTGTGGGGGGTGTTGGAGTTGTTGGGTTTACGGCTCTCCCTAATCCTACTATTGTTGATCCGTCTCCTATTATTTCTCAACCTGTGTGTGATGGCATTGTGTCTCCGGTTGTTTTGCTCGTTGTTGGTGATGTTGGGATGGAGTTAATTCAATCTTGACAATTTCAGTCTCCGGTTAACCCTAATTATGTTGTTGTGATTTGTTCGGGTGGGTTTGATGTTGTTTTGGTGGAGACGTTTCTTGTGTTGGATTCCCCTATCCGTGCTATAAATGAATGTGATGTGGGTGTGCCTTATGTCGGGTTAGTGCTTTGCCCTGCTCTCTCCCCGACAGCTCCTGTGTCTGTTGATGTTGTCTCTCCTAATGTGACTCTTGCCCATGTGTCTGCTTCTGACAGTAATTGTTGTATCAATCTTAGTCATAGTCAGAATGTTGGTGATGGTGCAGAATTGTCTGTTGATAATTCTGTTTTCTTTGTTAATAGTAGAGAGGAATCCTTGGTTGTTGTTGGGGAGGAAGGAATTGTGACGCCTCTAGTAGATGTGCCAATTTCAATCATTTTAAATGTGAATTTGTTAGCCCATGTTGTTAGAGATGCTAGATGGCAATGTGATTGGTTACATGATGATATGGCTATTGATAGTGGTGGGGTTTTCATTAATAACTCCCTTGATACGGGCTCATTCGATAATTTTGGTAGGAAATGTAAACGGAATTCCATGAAGAGATGATTTTCTTTGTTTTGACAGTTTTGTATTATTTTGTTATTTTTCAGTTTATGTTGCTATGGTTGCGATGCTGGATTCGATTCGGAGTGATTGTTGGGGAATGGACAATGAGGAAGCAGTCTTGTTGCATGCGCCTTTGATGGCCAGGGTTGGTTGGCAACCTGGATGGCTCAATGCGGCTTTTGTTTGGATGTGTTGTTTGACTTTCATGGATTGCCCCTCCCTGACAACTAGGTGTCGGTCTAAATCCGATATTCTTCAAATTTTGTCTTTCATACTCTCATTTTGTTTTTGACACAACTATTTTTTTTTTAGCCTTTATTGTAATGCTATTGATGTGACCCTTCTTGTGCTGTAATTTTCTAACGTAATAAATTTTTTGAGTTTTGTTAATATATATATAGTCTAATAAATTTTATAATGTAATTACTATTTCTTTGAGGTTGAATCAAATATAAACCATTTGGAAATATATCAAAGATTCTT